GCCTCAATAGAAAACCAGATTTTCACATGATGCTGCCCTGCTCATTAGCCAGATATTCTTCCTGATAAGGTCCTGACCCACAGTCCGCTAACGCCAGAGGTGGGTCTTTCCATTCCCTTCACCAGACTGTATCTCAGCCCTTACACCTGGAGGGATGGGAGGGGATTCAAGGGAGCTCTTGGTGAACCTGTCTGGTCAGATGGCCCCGCACTCACTGGGCACTGCCCAGACACAGAGTTCGCACCAGACCTACTCCCTCCCTTAGAGCCCCCGGCCAAATAACTCTGAGCATGCAGTGAGAGGGTTTCTGTGTCTCTTATAAGCAGTGGGATATGCAAATAGGGGTGAGAGTTTCCTGTATAAATCTGTCCCTCTCTCTGCCCAGGCTGCACCCAGAGAGACAATCCACAGCCCCTGGGTCTTTGCAGTTACGAGCCAGTCCCCTGAGAACTTTCCCCCAACACCCGGGAAAATGAGGATTTGGCTCCATTTTGGTTTCATTGTAGCGGCTCTGGAAGGTAGGTTATCCCCTGAATGCCCTGCAGAATGCTGAGCAATTGACAGTAATACCAATAAGTTTGTAATCTGTCTTTATTCCCAGGCGCCCGGTCCCAGGTGCAGCTGCTGGAGTCTGGAGGGGATGTGAAAAAGCCCGGAGACTCTCTCCGCCTCTCCTGCAAAGCCTCTGGGTTCACCTTCGGTGACTACTGGATGAGCTGGGTCCGACAAGCTCCTGGCAACGGCCTGGAGTGGGTCGCAGCTATAAGCTATTGGGCCGGCAGTACTATACATTACGCCAACGCGGTCAAAGGCCGATTCACCATCTCCAGAGACAATGCCAACAGCCTGTTGTATCTGCAAATGACAGGCCTGAAGCCCGAGGACACCGCCCTGTATTATTGTGCCAAACACACAGAGGGGCGAAGCCGGTCTGAGCTCAGACAAAAACCTCCCGTTGCGGTTGGTAGGGAAAGTCCCAGCTGGTGAGACCCTGACACTCCTGGGACTGGAAACTCAAAAGAGGAAACAGTGTGTTCATTGCAATGTGTCCTGCTCTAGCCAAATCTAGCTTCATACAAGGCACAGGTCCAGGGGCCGGTCCCCTCCTGAGTGTAAAGGGCTGTACCTGGACCTTTTCCTCTTAATTTTTAATAAATTCTATGTGCAAATAAAGACTCCCATTCTACACGCTCTTAAAAATAGGGGGTATAAAACGCGAGAAACAAAACCAGAAACCCTGACAGCCTTAACAAGGCACAGGGCTACCCCCAATGATGCTATCGATCACTGGGTATGTCTGTTCTATGTGCGCATAGGTATTAAACAACTTAAATAACTAATGGACTCCCTGCCCTGCGCTGTCTCATGTGTATGGGCCTCATCAAACAACGCCCATCCATCCGGTCTGAGAACCTAGGACCATGTCACATAATGGATCTCTCATCCACCCAACTTCCTCTCTCAGTATAATTCCATTAACCTGGAACCCTCCTAGAGAGGGATTTGCATGCACATGTCACCAAGGGACATTGGAGGTTGAACAGGACTGTCCTAGGTACTCACTCTATCTAGGCCACAAATGGGCAGCTCCTCGGTACTAGCTGTTGATATTTTACCAGATGATGTTGCTGGAGAAATTCCATAGATCAGACTTGACCAAGGAAAGGGATAAATTTAGACTTTGTCTCTCTGAAATGTGTGAGCTGAATGGTATATGCAAGTGAATGTGTTCTCATAACTAATGTTATTATAAAAGACCTGAATGGATATCTCTCTCTCTCTCTCTCTCTCTCTCCCTCCCCTCCACCCCCATTCACACCCACATTCTCCGCGTGACCAACACTTATCCGGTTTCACAGTGCGGCATCTGCCACCTTCAGGAAGACAAATGCATTTCGGGGCTGATCCAATTCCCATTGCAATTGAGTCTGAAAACCCATATTGTTTAATGTGTATTTCTGGTTCAACCGAAACCAATTCT